CACAGGAATATAGTAAATCGTTTATCAACAGAAGCTATAATACAATAAACTTGCTAGAGAAGAATTGAAGTAGCGAAATCCCTTTTTGTGGTCGAACTGCACCGTGATTGAACTCTGCTGGTTTAACACACTACTATAAATATGAGTAGCCTCCTTATGTAGCAAGCAGTATACATAAACAAAATACATGATTCACAATAATCGGTCTAATAAAGAGTTGTTGACCTGGTTTAGAAACAAATCTAATTACTAGTTAACAAGCTGCAAAGGACATCAGTTAAACAAAAGTTGTTAATTTCGTAGATTAAAGCATAATTTACACTTAGTGTGAGATCAACTAAATGAGGAACTGATACCGTGTGTAAACAATATATAGAAGATTTACAATCTAAACATAAGTTTACTTTTTGGAAACAAAAAGTTTAGGGTATAAACATTGTATTGCAAAGAGTTCATAGAATATATTTCTTACTCATATTTTCTACTTTCATATAAGATTTTAGATTTTCGCGATATTGAAATCCACGGTTTCCAACAAAATGAGTCCAAACTTTTACCCAATATAATTAGTGTATTATTATTTATCAATTATTATCAACAATATTATTGTTTATTATTATTAAATTTTTTCATTTGCAACTTCTAAAGGTTAGCATAAAAAAAATTAATGACCACTCCTATTTCTGATGCGCATGTATTACTTCAAATGAAATCTACTTTGATATTCAACTAAAAGTGGAAACTGATAACCATCAACTAATGTTAAAGTTCAAACACATACTTTTTAAGCTACGATTACACCAAGTGACCAGTTTGATATAGAATTCCGGGAATTAAAATATTTCTTTCAATTTGGAATTTATAATAATTAGAGTTTGTTAATGAACTAAGTCTCTTTTCCTTAGTAGCACTATAAATGAGGAAAAAACCTAAAACCACTCATGAAGGGAATGAAAGATGTATTTTTTGATTTACAGCAATTCAAGTTCAATTTTGCTCGTTCATAAGCAAGTCCATACTAACTTTATATGTGGGATGCAATTTAATCATGACTATACAAAACGCATTTGCTTTCACAAGTTTTCTTGTATCATCTATCGCCAGAGGGTTCTAGGCTATATGCATAGTTTCAAATACTGGTTTCTCGGAATAGTGCATGTTAAAAAAAGGATAAGTTTGGACTGTTCATTTAGTATTGCGTAGAGTACTTATCCTAAACTGCCTTTTCGAAAGCAAAAAATTAAGAGCAAAAATATTTTTCTTTTTGAAAGACTGAAGTAAAATTGATGAGAGGATGCAAAAATATTTTCCTAATTAAAAAAATGCAGTTAAGTAAACATAGTTAAGTGAACAAGCAATAAATTTGGTCAATAGCATCTGTAGGGAGAGAGCTGTACAAACTTGCATATATCATGTGTATCGTCTGCCTCCCGTCATTATCCAACCAATTTCACCTGCCAGCATTCACCTTTCTCAATCATCTATTCTTCATACAAGAGAGCATTAGACACAGTGCTATACTCTGTATCAGAAGAGCACTGCATAATATGATTTAACATAAATTTTGCATTCAGTCACTTTCATTCATTAGAATTATTTGACCGTTCCTCTTATCATTTCTTCCATTTTTGGGCACTGGCAAAGATATTGTTTAAGTCATCTCAAGCATATAAACTCAGTTAGTTACAACGTATTATTAAACATATCAATAATTTTTATTTCGGTAAAGCAAAATTTACTACTTTATTTTTGAAATATTTGTGGGAAATTTTTAATACCGATGTACCAAATATCCATCATACTCGTTATTCTATATTTCAATAACAAACGACGTAGATACGTATTAGATGTTTTTTTAATCTTATGAGGAAATCATGCAGTTATCTACTTACAGAATCAAAAATAAATTACAACAGTATTTCTTTACAAGACAAAAAAATAACTTTAAAGAAAATAGACTCGCAAATATTAATCCTATTGATAAATCTCAAACTGCGAAAATTTGTCCAAATCAAAACAAATTGAATTAGCTGTCCCGGAAGCGTCTAAGTATTAAAAGCAGTGCAGTAAGAGCAAGACAAATTTGACTATTTGAAAAATTAGGTATCTGGTTGCTTTTGTTTTCACATGAAGTTATCCAAAATTCCGAAAATTATCGAGAGATTTGATAAATTATTTCAATAAAATGAAGTAAAAAGTTAAAATGATTTAAAATGATATGACGCGATTGTATTTGCAGCTTCTTTTCAACAAACTATGAAAGTGAGTGGGCCACTTCGCGATGAAAAGCAAAGAAATTTTGCAAAGTGAGCAGTACATAGTATCATCGAAGAAATCTTTCCAAATTTCATTATATATCCTTTTTATCTACTTGATATCATTTTTACTTCCGATTTTCAAAAGATTTCTAATGAAACGATTGCTATTATGCAATTTGGTGAACTGATATTAAACCTCAATTTAAAACTGGTTGACCAGTTCAGCAGGGTTAATTAATTTCATATCCGAATATTATTGATTTCATAATATGCTACTTGTTGAAACAGCTCGTTATTCATTTTACTGTAAAAAAGGAAATTTTAAAACATTAAAAAGTGATAGAAATAGGTTTATCAATTTACTTTTGTAATAAAGCCGGTATTTTGAAACAGAAAGTGATAATTTCATCCCTTTATCAAGCATAATCAACAGGAATAATCGTTGATGAAATATCCTTAATAATATTATTAAAAAATTTCTTCTTCCTTCATCTACTCTTTTAAACAATTAACTCACCGCTAATAATACTAAAGTAATCACTGTCAAAGTTGAGATTTGGTTTCCACACGCAAACTTTGTGAATAAGAATATCACTGGACGGTATCACAATAAACTAATCATTTCATGATCAACATCCATCAAACATGTACAAAGGTTAGCGCACCTAAGGTGCGTGATCACTTATGAATATGACAAACAGTATGAGAATAGATACCGCAGATAACAAATCCTCCAGTAACATCCAAACAGAAGTATTCATTTTCACGTGGATGAACTTATAATGCACCTACAAATATAAATATATGCGCGCAGGTGTACATGGACGAGAGTTGACAACAGGAACAAGCTCAAGTTCTGTATCCATCTGGTTGTTGGCAAGAAAATCGTTCTCACAAAATTGTCTGCAGAGATGTTGACATGTATTGGTAGAAGCTAAAAATATAGATGAAATGAATGAGTTGGTTAGATCGTACGAGAAAACCAATAAGATGGAAGTCAGGAAGGATATCCACAAGTAGCGTCAATAATCAAATACATAAAACCTTGTTTAGCTTAATCCTCATTCTTCAACTCTTTAAACTTATATCATTTTTATAACTAATTAGTTATTTTAAAAGTATTTTTTCAATTCCTATTCCAAATATTTAATGTTTATTTTAGTATGTTTTGGAATCCTCATATTCCAGTATGCATATTTATTTTTTCGATATTTTTAATTCTTAGTTTCAAAAACTAATCCCTTCAACATTCTTTATATGTCTCATTCTAAACAACAAACTGTTAGACTTATATTTGCCATACGAAATTTAGTGAAAATTTTCATTGATTTAACAATCAAAAATACATTATGTTAAGATTTGTTGTTGAAAATTTAATTTGATATAGTAAACTTTCACAAGCCTCCTTCATTTATAATATTTTTGCGTTATTTTCCATTATAAATTGTTGGGCATTTGTTTTACCTTTATTATTAGCAAAAGTGGTATTGTTATTTGTTTTGGAATAATGACAGTTGTTGCACTGACTAGTTATTCAGATACAGTGCATCAGTGATCATGAAAAAGATTCATGTTATTTGCTATCTCATAGCATTTCGTTTATTTTATTAATAGTTATAAAAATAGATTTAGCTGGCTAATACCCTTTTCATACATTTTCACTTATTTCATGCTTTTAACGGTACAATTCACCGAGTTGCACTTCTGCTTTATGATCAGCAGTTATGATGAGTATGGTAGCACTTTTCTAGACGAAACATTCAGGACAAAAATAATTCTTGTAATAATATATTATTTTGAATGATATCATTTATATCAATTTTTGAACCCTATTCTTGTATAGCAATTTTTACTGATTAATGGTTGACAGAACTGATGACTGGGGAAAAATAACTGTGACAAAGAGGATTAAAATTGATTTTGTGCGTCATGGTATACATATAATTTCGATTGTTCTTTGGTAGAAGTGAAAAAAAAAAAAAAAAAAAAACTAGTTTAGGGCAAACCGACTTCATTAAAACTTTCTTAAAACTTTGCAGTTCAATTTGTAGAAATCTATATGTATGTTCCTTTGTCCGTCTTCTAAACAAATATATGAAACTTTTAAATATCTAATGAAATGTTGACTATTATTTTTGAAATGTTCACAATTTTCGATGCCGAAACGATATATTTTTTTGAATTCATGGTCCATTATATACTATAGAATAAAGAAAACTCTTTTAAGATCTTCGGCTAAATATAATAAAAACGGGAAAAATTACTAGCTGATTAAATCTATTTACATAGTCGGAGTCAATAAAACTCTTCTAATAATATAGTACCGTTCTTTTTTTAGACGAATTTTTCATGAAACATAAAAAACCAATAAATGAATCGGCATTTTACAAACATTTATGTTTTTATGGAAACAAGCGTCTATCATCTGATGCGTAAGTAGTGAGCACTATACTTAACCAAGAGAAAATAAGTTTCCAATCATTGAAGTAAAGTTAACATGGTTATAACATACTGGTCTCTCTTGAAAAAAAAAAAAAAAACTCACGTGTTAAAATTACACTCACTAATTGCTGTTCTATACTTTGATTGTTTTGATATCACTTTTTTGATTTTATGATTGCTAAGATTATTTAAGAGTTGAGTTCGAAATTAATTAAAAGTTAGGATAAATTATAAATCAGTTTTATAACTAGCTTACTTCATTTCAGACAATTAATACGCGTACAGTTATAGTCTGTTAGGATGCTGCGAAATCAGCATCGCTTATACAACAACAAATTATCGATAGCGATGAGTCTCGACACCTTCCATAATACTTCTCTTCATATCGGTGACGTCATATCACTGTATGCAGAAGATTATTCCCGACCAGTGGAAGATCGTTTGGAAGAACGTTTATTTCCTAGAACTGGATTTTTATCAACGCTTGGGTATGCATGTCATGTATTTATTGTTTTCACCTAAGTACGTGTGACTGTAACGTGAAAGAAAAAAAATGTTATTGATATTTTGATTAGACATTTTAAAATTAAGTGTAAGCGATCTACTCACAAAATAGTAAGTTCCAAAGTCGTGATGAAAGTTGTAAGTGTAAATTGAATAGTTTACTTTGACGATGCATCGAATACATGCTATGGGATGCCACAGTTACCATACTGCTAATGTTATGTTTTCTTAAAGACCTGATTCCATCTTTGTTTTTTTTTTTGGTCTCCTTTTTTTACGTTCTTAATCTCATGGATTATCTTACAGTCTTGTTGATGATAGATGCATTGTTGAGATTGGTAATGGTACTCCTGATTCACCGCCAAAGAAATTCCGAGGTATTTGATAATAATTTAATAAATGGATGCAGAATATTATGGTAAATAATGCTCTGCATTAATTTTAAAAGGAGTGATTTGAAATTACATTTTATTGCTCATAATTTTGTAAAAACAGCATAAACCATTTCCATTTAATATTTAGTTAAGAATTTTATATATCACAATATTATGTTAGGTGTTAAGATATCACGGATGGCTTTTCTTACAATCATGAATTAAAAAGAAATTACACCAGAAAAATGAATTTGAAATATCCAATGTATTTAAAAATGATTCAAGCTATGTTGAAATATTCTAAGGTTTGAGGTTGATTGCTCACGATTCAAAAGTTCACATTTTCAGACTGTTTGTTTCGAGTTTGCCCGATTAATCGATATGCAGCGCAGAAGCAGTTTTGGGCAGAGCAAAAAAAATTTCAAGTTGGTGAATCACTTTTTGAAGAAGATATGTTGAAAAAACTGAAGCATGCAGCAGATAAAGAGAAAGAACAAAATGACATGGAATATAAAAAAATGCTCGGCGCAAATGTACAATACGGTGGTACTATACAGGTATCTTTTTACCGGAAATCATTTTTTTTTTCATCTTTTCCTTTGTGCTTGAAATATTTTTATTGTTTAAAATTCCGAATTTTTAATGTCATATTCAAGTGATTTAAGTTTTAATTTCTTCGAGTATATATATTGTGATCAGATCGTCTGTTACTTAAATGTTACTGTAGGAGTGGGAGAAATTATTGAATCGTGAAATTAAGGTTAGAAATTCAGACTAAATCATTCTTTATTGAACTGTGATATTTGATAATGAAAAATGATTTCATTACTTCCTTACACACTGAATCAATCGTATGAGTTTTAAAAAAAGAAAATCTACCAATAAAATCTATTTTGCAGTTGTTGCATGTTAAATCAGATAAATATCTAACAGTATTGAAAAATTCACCTGCTAAATTGGAGCGTAATGCGATGAAAGTGTATTTGGATAAAAATGGTCATGAGGGCTCATGGTTCTATGTCGAACCTGTATACAAGCATTCTTTCTTTGGTGATAATGTTTGTTTTCATTATTTTTCTTAAAATGATAATTTCATTGATTTCTAATGATAATTTCAAGTTTTTTTTTTTTCACTGATTACAAACATTTGAATTACAATGAACAAAAGGAAATATGACTTTTAATAAATTTGCTCTGATTTTATTTTAGGTGAATGGTGGAGATAGGATCAGTTTGGTGCCATATTCATATTGTCCAATTCCGAATACAACAGGACATGTTAAACCTCAACTACATTTATCACATTTAAGGTAGTAGCACTTTTTACAGATTAAAACAGCTCTATTACAATAATAATAGTTCCTTGTGACTTCTGTAATCATTAAATCCATTTCATATTAATTTCGTTTTTGCACTCTTAAAAAATTACAAACTTTTCAATTTTAACTTTTTTCTGCCAACTTTTAATGCATTTATTTCCCAGTAATTTTCCATAAACAATTTCGAGTGATTCTTGAAAAATAATATGATTATATGCTGAATATGTTCTATTCTTTAAGTCACTCAATGACATATTCTTGTGAATTTGGTAATGTTAGATATTTTTTTTTCCTCTAATTCTTTCTTTCAGTTTACCAGATCATCCAATTGGATTCGAAGTTAATTGTTCAAATGAGCTTACTGAATGGCAGGTCTTGATGTTCTTACAGTTTGACGAGAATCAAGAAAATATTGTAAAATCTGTAAGTTTTCTTATCTGAAACACTAAATTTAGGAAATTTCTATTGCTGAGTAGCAAGTTTTGATGTGTTCAACTGCACATTTTGAAGAATTGAGCAAATCACACAAACACATTGTATCATCATGTCGCTATTGAACAGCAATTATACAAAAGTGAGAAGCAATATTATTCCACAGGGAGACGTCGTGCGACTTTTTCATGCCGAGCAACAAACATTCCTAACATTAGACACTGTACCGAAAACGAATAAAGATGCAGTATTTTTGCGTTTAACAAATCGTCCATCTGCTGCCGATGCGACTTCTTCGCGAGCTTTATGGGAAATTCAGGTTGCTTTTAAATTTATAATTTTGAATATATTAATTTGATAGGTTGTCCTTTATTTCGTACTTTTTCGTATTACTCCAGTAACAAATTTTTTTTTTTCAGGTTGTACAGTTCGATTCATATCGTGGTGCAGCAGCATCTTGGCTAAGAGAATTTCGTTTCAAGCATTTAGCTACTGATATGTATCTAAGTGTAGAGCGAATGCGATTAAATAAGACAGAAAATACACCAACTAATACAGTATCATCACTTCCTGGTATAACATTAAGAAACTTGTGGAAGTCAAGTTATTTCATATCTAGAAAGATGATGTTTATCCATACTCGCTCTATCTAATAAGACACTTCGTGAATATATCACTGAAAAGATAAAACATGATTTAGTAAACTTTATTTTTCAAGTCTTTTCAAGAAGAAATCATTAAAACTCATATATAAGCAAATATAGAAGCAGAATACTGTGATGATGGACAGTATTATTTGGTACCAAAACATTCGGAAAAACCGGAAACTGATGAATCTTTGCTATTTGTATTGGATCCTTGCACGTTTACAAAGGTAAAATAATCTACAAATCAGTTTTTATATGCAAATAATTGTTTAATTACTTCCACTTATTCAATAGTCATTCAAATTTAACCTAATATATAGTCAAGGAGAGAACGTGATAACTTTAAGAAGATGGAAAATTTTAAATACCATAAAAATTGTCCCAGAACAATAACTATAATAGCCGTATTTTGAAATTTCAGACAAATTCCCTTTTTATCTGAGAAGTTAATGTTTGGCAACAGAGATACTCTCATATTCAAATTCAGATTATATTCGGAAATTACGTGATTTATTTTTGACAGATGGATGCTAGAATCTCCCAAAGGACCTATGTACGCCTTTGGCACGTATGTACGAACACTTGGATTCATACCACTGATCCTACCGAGAAACAGAACTTGTATCACTTCAGGTCAGAAACATTCTTTCTGAAATAAAATATTTCTTTGAAAATAAGCTGTACAAAAACATTTGGATGCAACTGTGTTTTTTCATTTCTATTAATACATTCAGCTAATAATTTCAGCACCAATGAGAAGGGATGGGTAAAAGTAGTTAGTGAAAATTTCAAAATCGATAAAGAAACATTTGCACTGCTTCCTGTTCGTCCGGATGAAGTTCGAGATCTGGATTTTGCCAATGATGCATGCAAGGCATTGAATAGTTTCGTCAAATTGATTAGAAGTGGGATGATCATCTCTAAAGAACCAATGAAGTAATTCCTAAAACTTTTTGTTAAGATTTGAGATTAACCCCCTCTTTTGCGAATATCCTTACAAACAGAAATTTTTGAGAGTCAGAACTGCTATTGCAAGTATAGGATTTTGCAAACAGTTCCCAAGTTTTTTTTATTATCACTCAGAATTGTTTCAGTGTAACGATACAGTTATTAACGGAATGCATATTTTTTGTGACAAATCAGTCTAATCATGTGACGGATCCGATCAAAATTGTAGATTTCAAGCCACCAAGAGATCGACAAAAATTACTTCGAGAGCAAGGTGTCCTTGACCAAGTAATATTTTATAATCGGTATACGATGATGTCAGAATATGCTCTATAGCTTTTTAATTTTTTACAAATGAAATCTGGAATTAATTAATGTGATGCATTGGACATTAGAATTCTACGTACTTAAAAATGTTGCAAATTTGCTTTACTTTGTTGAAATAAAATGCAGTTTTTTCTTAGAAATATTAAAAAAAAGTTCAGAAAATTAATGAAGAAAAGAAATAGAAATGTTAAACTTTTAGAATTCTGATTACGTCAATATGTCTCTCAATCATAATATCAGGTTTAAATTTAGCTGGACCTTTACATACATTAGTTTAATTATTTAAAGGCAGTAAAATTATCTCATTCGATGCAATACTTTCCCTAAATTAACTTATTTTTTCCTGGAGAACTATTTTGAATTTAATGCACAATAAAAAACCATTTATATTATTAAAAAAATGTTTTCAAATTATACTTCAATAAAATTCAATTGTCCAATAAAAATCTATTTCAGGTTTTCGCACTGTTACGAGTACCATTTTTGCCACGGAATGGGAATGACCCGGAACCTTTGCTATGTTCACCACGTAAACTGAGTGAAAAGGGAAATGAGATCTTCAAACAAATTTTTCATCTTTGCTATTCACTGCTTAGGTACTAGCTTTTTCCACTTATTCAGAAATTTTTAGAGGGTAACGTAATGCGACACATCAGAAAAATCATACTATATGAGTGCTTTTTTCAATTTACATAATAGAAAGCAGTAAGCTGCTCACTTGTCTTCATATTGTGTGACTTTCCGAACTGAAATTTATAAACTTTTGTTAGTGGAATGTCCTTTTGCCTGCAGTAATAACATCAAAATTCCTGGCTGTGATATATATTTTTCGAATTCATCTGTTTTAAAAGACCAGTACGTTGAGCAATCTTATTCAGGTTATTAGTTCCAGATGCATAAAACTGATAGGGTCCGGATGTTTTATGTGTCAGTCACACTATATATATGACATTGAATACTTAATATCACTCTTTACATATACATACATAGTTTTATTTATGCTTATGTTATAGGGTAAACAATGTGGAATACATACTCTTTTTAGGTATTCACAAATTGGCTATCGGAAAAACCAAGAATATCTGGCAGAAAAATTTGGTCAAATACAAGAGCAGATTGGATTCGACTTACTTGCAGAAGATACGATGACAGCTGTTCTCCACAATAATCCGAAACTGTTAGAAAAATATGTTAAAAATCCACATGTAGAACGTTTTGTGGAACTCGTTCGCAATAACAAAGACGGTAGGTACGTTGCGCCATTTTTTTCTTTTTTTTTTTTTTGAGAGTTATAAGTTTAATTAAGATTAATTTATCTCAGCTCACTGTTATTCAGCAGATTTCGTTTTTGGATTAAATCATGATTTCAGTTGGTTCGTACATAATTAGTCTTCCTTAAATTTTTTTATCTCACAACTCATATTTGGTTAGTACAACTTCTCTCAGCGTAATTATTTTTTGAATATTATCGAATAAATTGTTTTATTGGTCTGTTTAGATTCTTGGTTTATTTGGCTGATCTTTGTGTTTGTCGCGGTGAAGCAAATAAAAAAATTCAAGAATTGATCTGCAATTGTGTGCTAAATGAAGTGAATCGCGACATCTTCATTAGGACGATCATTTATGACAAAGTCGGCTAAAAATCATGTTTTTTCATAGATAGAAGTCTAAATTTTACACCTCACTAATAATCTGTAATCTAATAAAAAATCACAGCATACTGTGATAATTCCAGAGCTCTAACGAAGTATGGATTTGTTGGTCGAATTCCTATTGCAAACAGCTGGTATCTGTAGCAATGGATGCTGCTAAAGGTCAAACTGAGGATATTGAAGTGCTTGATTATTACAAGTATGTATTAAATATTACAAATGTGATAGTTGATAATGAATTGCTCTGCATGGCCTAATTATGGTGTAACAAAAATTCCATATTTTTAAACTTGAAAGAAAAAAGAAAGTGCTGCCAAAGTTATTTGATCAATTCAGACATCAGGATATAACTTTTTAGACACCAGTTGGATCTTCTAGCGCAAATGTGTCACGACCAACAATATCTTGCAATTGATCCTCCACCTGAAAGACGCCTTCTGAATTTGAGTTTAGAACTACCAGCTGATTTAGTCCTTAGGTTTGGATTATTTTTCGTCTTTTCTTTTCTTTTTTTTTTTTGAAAGCATAAATCAAGTATGAATATAGAAATTCTCTTCTTTTGTTGAGTGAATTACAAAAAAAAAAAAAAAAAAAAAAGAGATGAAGCAAGAACTTACCGAATTACACGTATTTCTGGATAATTTTTTTTTAGTTTCAATTTGTTTTTAGAATTTGATGTTCCAGATGCATTTCGGACACAAGATTACCGCAAGATTTGCGTGCTTCATTTGCACGTCTCATGCTTCATCTTCATGTCATACGTGGTTCTCCGCTTAATGCCGTGCATCATGCTCGACTATGGCGTGAAATCCCGTTAACTGGCACAGTTTCTGGGTATAACATTTAATGAAACTATCTCTCCCGAAAAAATAAAATTTTCGTAAAAAATTCTACGAGAAGTTTTAGTAGTATAATGAAAAATCAGCACGAGCTTTTTTTGTATAATATTATATAAATCGTTATTTGATGTTGTAAATGCTGTAAAGGAACTCAAGTCGATCTGTAAATGGTTACGTTGACAGCGGTTACGTGCGTAGTGGAGGAGAAGTTTTTGATAAAGTGTTAAAAACTGTCGATGTGTATCTTGAGGAATTACGCAAAACGACACGAGAAGGTGAACCTGTCTTGGATCCAAGTCTATCAAAGCTAAAGCAGAATCGATTAACCTTTGAGGTAGTGCCTGTAATATTTGCTTTGAAATATTCATCGAGAAATTAAAATTTGTAATATTCGCCGTTAGTAATTTGATCGTTTTCAGATCGTGACACTTGCTCGAGCCTTGGCTCATTTTGAATTCTACAGTTTTGCAGATTTACTTCGTCTTGCTCAAAATTTGTTAGCTATTGCTGATAGCAATCCAAAAAAACCTGAAGGTACTTTATAAAAACTGGTAGTTATATAGAAATATCGTGAAGTTCAAAATCTCTTACAGTTACTGCGTAAACATAAAGAAAGTAAAAATAAGGTGATGAGATTTCGAAATTTAACTTCTTTTTCGACCGTTTTAATTTTTCTCTGTAATTTGTATGAGAATTTAGATGCTTTAGTTTTTTAGGGGATTTCTAGAAAATGCATTTATGATAATACAATTCTCTTCGTCTTTCACTTAGTTGTAATCTATGTTGTTCTCCCATATTATGACATTACACTAATTACACTTAAAATCAGTTTAACAAAAATAATTCAGAAAAACCGAACGAACTTCGATAATTTCGCTGTTATTTGATAACATGATAATGAAATGATACTTGGTTTGTTAACTACAAAGTGAAACTACCATTAAAGCTTTCGTTATATGCCGTAATTTTCATTTTAATGTTTCATACCACGTCGAAAAAAGTTAAGTTGCGAGATGCTCACGGTGCTTATATTCCAGATAAAATGGCGTTTGACAAGACAGGTTTGTTTCGTCATGTGACATATTCAGTAATTGGTGCGAATGCATTGCAGAAAGGAGCCAAACAGTATCTTCAGCATATGAAGGCAGAATCCGCGTGTAATGAAAATACTGTTCAAGTTAAAGAAAGCAAACAAATGGTTTTGCAAACAAAACTTATAATTGTTGAAATTTTAAATGTAAGTCCTTCAGTTGGCTATTAGGAATGATCTGTACTGCTTGATGAAAACTTGTAAGCTTTTAGTTTATTATGGATGTACGTCGGGACTATCGTATAACAGTCGCACTTTCTTGGTTTAAAAAACATTTCCCATGTGACGAACTCGGAGAACTCCTTTCCAAAACAGGCAGTCATTTTCTTTTGTTGTACTTTTCATCACATATTTTAAATGATTTTCAAAAGACTTCTGCAATCTATTTGTGTTTCAAAATTTCTGTAGACTATTTTTGTTTGTAAGGGTTTATATTTTGAAATATGGAGAATTTGGGATGAAGTTTTGCTAATTTCTACGTTTTTTTTTTCATATAAAAGAACCGTCAAGTAATTCAAAAATCTGGACAGATTAATTTATTCAGCAAAATTCAAGAAAAACTATGCTAAGAGAACCTATATTAATCAAATATGAATTGTGAGACAAAGAAGTTAAAGGTTTTTCTGAAATTTTCACGAAAATGATTTTTTATAAAAAAAAATATATTCAAATTACAGCAAAAATTTTCAAAAAAATTTTTTCCTGTAATTTGAATATATTTTTAAATGAAATTTCAGATTTGTCAGAACACGAAGCATCAGAGTTATATAAAGAGGTATTTCAAAATTGTGAAGAGAACCTTGATTTTGATGGTAGGAATGGTCAACTTCTTCTGCGAATACTTCTGCAAATGACAATAAGTGACTTTTCGAAGCTAACTAGTACAGCTCTTACTGTAATGTTTCGCCATTTCACGCAGTACCAAGAGTTTGTGGAAGATCTCAAGCAGGCAAATTTTTGTTTGAAGCACAACTAGTTTTGATTATAATCCAGTTTTGTAGATTTGTTTGAAGCATCATTAAATCTTTTACAAGTTTACTTTTAGCTTCTATGCATTGTCACACTGATAACATATGTTTTCATCTTACTGAATGATAACGATTTCAAATGACTCGTGTTAAGAAGAAAACTTGTTCGAGTAAAATAAATTTACTATCTGTATTTAAGCAGCTGTTGTTCTTAGAAAAATGTGATGTGTTACTGTTTTACCGCCATTCGAACCGAAATTTCTATAAGAGTTTTAAACGAATTTTCTGAAAGGATTAAAAAGAAGATGAAATTTATTATTAAACCTTACTATTCCATGATGGTGGTACTGGTGAAATTTGCTGAGTACTTAAAATCTTCGGCTTATGATACTGAGTGCACACGTTAGGTATTGCATATTTCATTGCATTCTCTCATGCATATCTTTGAATCGCAATCTTTTGTTTCCATAATAATATAATATTGAACAGAAGATTTTGTTCTATTCGAAATGGAATTACGAAAGAACTAATTGGGATGAAACTAAAGATCTTATTTCTAAATCCTTAAATTTAGGAAACCATAAATAATTAATATTGACCGAAAAGAAATTTTGCAGGTTCAGTTATTAGTATCGAATGATGATGTGGAAAATTATCAGCAAATTGATCGTGATTTATTCATTTTGAAAATACTTACGGAAAAAAGCGAGCTGTGGGTACAAGCTGATAAAACGCGACCTGAAAGTAGTAGTAAACGTAGTTTTGAAGAATATGGTTCAAGTCTTGATGACTCATCAAAGTTGCCCCTTTCAATGTTCGTTTCCTTTCAATTTGCCTGGGAAAAGTTTTAGATAATTTAGAAGATCCGAAAAAAAGTTAAATTATTTATTCAATTGTTATAATTTACAGACGAGCGACTAGTCAACAGTTAGAAGATAGTGGTTTGAATGCTACTTGTGCTTTTCACAACAATGAAAGCTTTCTTTCGCTGGTGGAAAAGATTGAACAACATTATTATTTTGCGAGAGATGAGTGCATTAAATTGCTGTGCAAGGTGAACTGAAATCAGCTTCAGTATAATTTAGAATTTTAAAGAATCTGTAAAAACGTTGTGGATAATTAATTCTTTTTGTCATTTTTTTCTTTTTTCTTTAGAATAAAATAGAAAGCACTCAATTATCAGTTCAGCGTTTTAGTGAATCTGATAAAATGTTTTGATAAATGATTTCATTGGCTTGCTCTAAAATCCTTAAATAAGTTCGATGGAGCTATTGTATAAAGTCTACATTGGAGTACTGGAAAGGAGGTTTAGATATAATCATTTAAGGAACCTGGATTTAATTTAAAACAGTAGTGAAAATGAACAAAAAACCTGCACCAAGACTTCCGAGATTTTGATATTTCTGGTTAGATTGTGTTAGTGAAATGCAGTAGTTCAATTTTAATTTAACTGTTTCTATTCATATTTTTTTCTGGAAATGGTAATGACATGTATTATACAGTTTAAAATCTGAGTTGAAATTTATTTTTCTGAATTCACGTACTATATTTAAAAGACATTTATTGAAGTCAAGAAAGTTTGAGAATATGAGTGTACTCTCTCCATTTGTTTATTTGGAATTTGAATTTTGGTTAGTAAAAAGTACAACTTAAAGAGTGTTTGAGATTATTACTTTTAGCTCCTTCTTGGTGATGATCGAACGGAAGCAGCTTCGGCTTTATATGAACTGTTTGATCGTGCACCACTTGTTGGCTATCCTCTAGTAAGGCAGGTATGTACGCGATGATGGAATTTTTAACAATTATTGAAGATTTAGTAAAGTCCTAAATGATTGATAACATTACGGAAATGATTTAATATTTCCCTGATATATATAATCATTTTTTTGTATATCGCATCTTTGGTGTATTTCATAATAATATAGTTCAAGAAATAAACAAATGATTAGCGCTTACGAACTTAGATTCTGTATCGTATAAAACAACTCTGTTACAAAAACGACAAGCCAAATAAGATGAATCAGCAACTGTTGCGGAATATGCGTGTGCATGAGTATGTTCTGGGATTTTTGTCCGTTCCATATGATGAAGTTAGTTTTTAAAACTTCTCTATCAAATGAAGGAAATTCTCGATTTGCAATAATTTATTAGTACTGTTTTTAAAATTTAGTGTTATTGCAATTGTAGAAAAATGATGCGGAAATGCCAAAACTTGTCACACTGAGCCATGAATTCTTGCGAAGTTTTTGTCGCAATAATATTGAAAATCAGTTTCGTTTGTATAAACATGTTTCTATCGAACAAGATGCTAAAGAAGGATGTTTAAGGGTGGACACGGTAACATTTAATGTGATAATTTTAGATCCATCTGATTTATCACTAATAGATCTTACTATTTTCGTAAAAGTTGTTTTGATGACTGATATAATTTTTGCTGTGAGTATAAAAATAAAACGTAGTAATAGAGGTCGTTTAAGTGATTTCTCTTGCTCAATCTAGATTTCAAAAGACTCATTCGAAAACCTTTGGTGAAAATGTAAATGACGTATTTTATTATAGCAGCTGTAAGATGTAATACACGACATATTAAAATAGAAATTTCTTAGTATTTCAATGTTTCATGAATTTGGCGATCTTCAGATGGAGGAAGTTGCAACATTGACAGCAATTTTCAAAAATAATCGTATACTGTGTCAAAATGTATCTGAGGAAGTTATCGCTCATATTGTAAATATGATTGAGCACAAAGCCCGCAGTTCCGTATACATAGAATTCTTACAAACTGTTGTTATGGTACAAGAGAAAGAAATCAAGTCGGCACAGGAAAAAGTAGCTCAAGAAGTAAACTTTTAGGAATTCTTTCATTCATATTATTAATTATGGTTAGGTAAACATAGTTCAGTTTTGTAAGCGTGGCATATGTCACATTGCAAAACTTTTCACTTCTTAGATAAAGTTTTATTCCCAATATAAGTTGCATATGTGGGGGTAGTCGTAGCATCGAAGATCGAAGTGAGAGAATGTTTTCATTTTAGATCTGTTCATCTTCTGATGATGTACGAGTGTATTATGCAGATAGTGCAAGTTTCGAGCAGTTAAAACAGCTAATGCATAACACTGGTCCTGAAGACTTAACTGCTGATCATCCGCTACGTTACCACATCGATCTGGTGCGGTACGTATATAATTTCATACAGCTTACATTAAAATAGAAATTTCTTAGCATTTCAATGTTTCATGAATTTGGCGATCTTCAGATGGAAGAAGTTGCAACATTGACAGCAATTTTCAAAAATAATCGTATACTGTGTCAAAATGTATCTGAAGAAGTTATCGCTCATATTGTAAATATGATTGAGCACAAAACCCGCAGTTCCGTATACATAGAATTCTTACAAACTGTTGTTATGGTACAAGAGAAAGAAAGAAATCAAGTCGGCATAGGAAAAAGTAGCTCTATTGCAATAATATAGTAAGGAAAAGTCTTCCAGTAAATCGATTCAAGTGAATCCAGACGGGCACTTTACCACTGTCGTTTTCTGTCACACGGGAAAATTAAAAAAAAAATAATGGTAAAGTAAATGTTTTTAAAAGCGTTGTTGTTAAGCATTTTGTAACCGATGTTTAGGCTCCTCGCTTTATGTACACGTGGAAGAAACAGTACGACAGAACTGAAATGCGCTTCCCAGCTCTCCATGGATCATATAGTACGAGTTTTAACGATCCCTTACTGTTTAATACAGGTTCGTTCTCATTTATAATTTAGTTAATTTCTCTGCAGTTCTGAATTTTTGTACCATGTTTGCCAGCTTATAACTGATGGATTAAAGACATCAGTGGGAAGGAATTCATCAACTGCGCCATCCTTCATTATGGATCAGTCTCAATGAAAGCTTGAGACAGGAGCAAACAAGATGACCTAAACATAACTCGTTAGCTTGCTACTGAATATTAATGATATGAGAATATCTAAGGATTTATCTGTTGTAACCATAAACTGGAATTTGACTATTGGGACTGGTGCTTATTGCGACTGTGGTAGGTGAACAAAAATAGGAAAGAATAGGAAAAAATGGATATTTGTTAAACGCTCATTAAACATGCTAAACAACAAAGATAATTGAGAGTTTATGAGTATATTAGGAAGGACAACAAGCTCATCAAATATGTGGAGGAATGAGCACAAACAAAATTATACGACAACTTATTTTAAGTAATTTAAAAAAAAAAAAAAAAAAACACACACATACACAAAATATGCAGAATTACTACCTTTTGATTATTGTGAAATGCAACTTTTGTAATATTTTTTCTGTTAAAATTGTGCGCTGTCTGCGTGTTAAGTTTGGTCAAATAAATTTAATAATTTCAAAGAGAGAAGTAGTATTTTTTATTCGTTGAGCATGGAAACATTTAGTCTCTTCAAGTATGGATTCAATAATGAATAATTTATTGATGCACTTGTTTTAACTATCCTTGTCATAAAAAATAAACAATTGAGATCGAAACGATACTGTTATAGGTGAAAGATGCATACCTGCAATTTATGTTGCACTGTTATATAGATGCGGATGCGGAAATGAAAGATGTTGACAATGTTGATTTCATCGAAAGAATTATGAAAAATATTTTTAGTGATATACAGATGTATATTGCCAGTTTATCACAGGTTTTTGTATTGTTCCATTTTTTATCTTGAAATAGCATTTCAAGTTTCAAGGCTATATAATGTTATAGTCTTATTTGGAATAACGTTTCAGGTCTTCTGGGTACGACCACAACATTATTATATGAAATTTAGAGATTTGTACTAGTAAAATTTTGAATCAAGTTTTGAAAGTTGTAATTGAATCTTATTGTTACCTGTCGTCCGAAAATATCTAGGCTAATATGAAAGAAAACCTGAAATTTGAAAGAAGGCTCATCAGTAATTTCATGAAATGGTTACTGCTAAACTTAATCTTGTATCCAGCCTCCACTGTATTTTAAAATTTTATTCATATAAATAGCAAGAATTGGTAATTTTAGATGAAAATGGAGAAGCCTTTGTTGCCAAATTCGGCACTCGAGAAATACGTTTGCTACACGGCTACTGAAGTACTGGTTAAACTATTCGAAAGGCCTTCAGCTTATCAACTGATAGTGGAAATTTCGGTACATTTTTCATTCATATCTTTCGAATGCTATTAATTTTATTACTAGTTAATTTTATTTGATCTTGTTAAAGCAATTTGCCTGATGAGTAAGGTAGGATAAAGTAATCTTGAACCAAAAATTATTGAACTAATCTGAATAGTCAAAGATATTTTTTTTTTTTTTTTTAAATTATTTTTGTATGATTGCTCATTTCTAGAATTGTGCACGAATTTTTTAAATATTTTTTTCTTCTTTATTTTTAAAAATTTTAGCAGCAGCATCAATTTTTCTCCAGAATGATTCAAAGTCTTTGTCGGCTGCAAGAAGAATTAGTAAGAAAATGTTTTACAAAAAATTGGTATCGCGTTGCAGAATGCGTTAGACGACTTAGTAGACGTGGTTAGCTTTTAACTTTTAGTTATTAACATTTCTCATATATCACATCTCGCAAAAGTAACTCGTTGTCTATAGTTGTAAGAAGAAAACTAGACTGGTATGCATCTGTGAGATAGTTATAAGTGTATCGGGAATTAATGTTTCAACTATGTGGTGATGAAGTTCTGTTTTAGCAGAAGAAAATGGGGTTATATTATCGATTAATGGTTATATGCAACCTGGATATACTGAAGCAACTGTTAAACAGCGTTGGCAATCAGCTTTTAATTCAGCTCGTTTTATCAATCAAACGAATAAATGTGCCAAGACTCGTCTACACGTCCCACGTTATGTACAAGTTGCCGAAAGTTTTAGTAGTGTTGTTTCGTGTTATCAGGTTTGTCCTACCCTTTCATTTACTTAAAGCAACTCGTGATTCTGGTTACAAATTTATCCTTTAAATCGATTCACCGATTATGTTACCTTTAAGCTTAGTTGATATTATCTATTAATGATGCCTCGTAATTGATTTCTTTTCTTCCTTTACTTTAACTCATATTTTCATTCTACTGTGAGTTTTTAATTTTTTCTATAAAATTCTTTGCTTATAGGCGATGGTTAATGAATTTAAGCTGTTTGCACTGCCATTGCAAACAGCAGAAACATCGGTACTTGTGGATGTGTTACATGCTCCCGAAAGATTATTTATTTCTGGTTCTGATTTATATCAGAAATGTGAAAATGGTGTAGTCATTGCGAAGTAATATCACATTTCCGATCATTTTCGCTTATGTGTATATTAAGTGAACGTCTAGAATGTACTTTAAGCAACATAAAGTACTGTTTATAGTTGCAGATACACTAACCCGTTTTTCATTTAATTCTACCAAATACTTCTCTTTTGGCATCATTGATTCGAAATTAGACAAACTTACAAATAGCATCTATAGTTTCAGTCTTACTGAGTTGCACAATTGCAAAAAAGCAGGTCAAATATCCTATTCTTTATTATCTGAGCACACTTTGAGTTTTTGCTAATCGTTAAAGCTAATTCATCGCAGATTGATACAGCACTGTAAATCGCTTTTGCAACATGGACAAGAAGCTCTGTGTGTACGAGTACTACAGACATTGTGTCAAATGGCTTCAAACACTAAATACAACTTTATCAATCAGGCATGACCTCTATTTCTAAGTAATTAAGCAAATGTTGGTAGAACAGATTAGTAAGTTATAGTTCTATAACGTACGCAATTATACAAAACTTTTACTAAACGAATATTTGGGATGTGCCACTTTGTTATTTTCTGATTTCCTTTAATCCAGTTTCATTACTTAGTAATTGTTATTGAATCAGTGTTATATTGTTAACATTGCGATCACATGAAGCAAATTATGCAATTCATAAAACTATCATAAGAGTATCATTAGTTGACCATATAATTAAATCAAAATATTTATTTTTAACTGACTAGTAAATTCGATTTCACTTCATTTTGACTTTTACTGTATAGTGATTATCTTAAGAAAACATAATTTAACCTTAGGGAGTCGAAATTTATTCCTAACATTATGCTATGCTTTCTTTTGAACTGAATGACGATTAGCAACATAATCATAAAAACTGCCACAGAAGGAAGTGTATGCCTATTTGTTTCATAGCAGATCTTCATAATTAATTTAACATACATTCAGTTTCGTATCTTCTTTGATTTGAAAATATATACATGAAATTGATATATATATATATATATATATATATATATATATATATATATATATATATACTATACTATACTTTCCGATTTATTTGCGGTGTAAACAGAGAAAGAAGCTGAATGTTAACATGTTTAAGTGTTTAGAACAATTTGACCGAGTAAGAATTATTAAAATCTTCATGGGTATGCATCGAAAATACTAATTTCAACAACCTTTTATATTTTGTATGGTTTTAGCTGAATAACTTAAAATCAGTGACTTTATATTATTTGATGTGTTTATTTTTATATTGACACAACAAGTTATATTCATTTTTCTTCTATTTTTTTTTCAGTAAATTTATAGAAAATATTTGTTTTGTTTGATTATAAGCAATTTGAGTCCAAATTTCTATGCAAAAACTATAGTAATTAGAGACAACTTTATGTAAAAGAAGCGTTCTTAAATGAGTTTAACTTTCAGTTTATGCAAAGGCATAGTTTTAGTAAATTTCATTAAATATATTAGCATTTTACTATGCATGGAAGACTTTTGTTTCTTTGATTTAATGGAAAAAAATTCTATTACGACATTGTATTATTGCTTATAGCTTTTTCTATATTGTATTAAAGTTTTCAAATGAGTATTACCGTTCAATAAATTAAATTTTCAGGCAAGAGAGGTGCGAATTAATTTGCTTAAGCAGTATTTTGGTGATGATGCCAAACGTAACACAAGTAGGCAAACTACAAAATTGGAAAGCAACGGTACTGCGTATATACAGTGTTTTTTTTAATTTGTGCTCTAATTTTTCTAATCAACAACAGGATATAGATTGTTTTAGGTGAACAAGTTACAAGTTAAACTCATAAATTAGATCAATTTTGAACTAAACACAAATTATTTTTTATATTTCTATATTCGTCATACGTTTTCAGGGTTTGCATTTGGAAATGATTTAAAACCAATAAAGGAACTATCATTGTATGACGTGCAGTGTAAATTGAACAGTGCTGGTGCTAGTGGTTTGTATTCTGATCTTTTAAAATTTATGAATGAGCTGATTATTGCTAAGCTATAAAATGTGCTGCACTTCGAACTCAACTTTTTCGAGACACACGTACTTAGGTTACTTGATCTGCAACCATCTTAAACTTTGTTTATTGTGAATTGACAGAAAGATTGTTTATTGTTTCCAGCGTCGATCTGACCTGGAAAAAGGTGATGCCAAAAATAGATACCGAAAGATAAGTGCAGACAAAGCACACAAAGATGATTTTGATGCACTTAAGTCATTTTAGTTTTAAGTTTTGTGTCGTTTTTCTTCTAACATTTATAGTGTTATGATCAACTATTACTGATCCAAGTTTTTTCGTTTTGTTTTTGTGAATTTTTATTACATATTGATGGTTTCTTGTTTTATTGACTGCAGCTATCGCAGATAAGATTCAAAGAGATGAGTGTTAGAACACTGTTGTACGTGGACCGAAGTATATCGAAGTCATTTATCAGAGATAAATAATAGTTGGTTATCCAACAGCTCATATTCCCAAACTTATCTCATCTAGATCAACTGATAATGAAAATTACTGAAATGTAAAAAAATTTGAACTTATTTGTTTTTTCTGCAGAATAATTACTCCAGCCTTCTTTTTTTTAAAAAAAAAATTTTTTTTAAACCCAATATGATTAGGCACAAATAATTTCAGATTTAGTAATTGATTTGATCATGGAAGAACCGAGTTATGAAGTTTTTTTAATGACAGTTCAACTTTCAAAAGCACTTCTTTATGAGGGAAATTATGAGGTCTACTTTTTCGTTTGAATGTCTTCCCATTTATAATCATCGATCTCTCACCTTATTCTCTATTCCATATCATTTGTGAATGTATCGAGTTTATCGAGAGATTACTTTTTTTAAGTTTCGTAGATTTTTCTGAGAAATGTGGATGAAATAGAAACGATAAGTTTTAGGTGCAGATGTCATTTTATAATCGATTAAAAGAAAAGGAAACGTCGGAGCCATTTTTCAACGCTCTTAAAACAAAATTACAAGTTGCACAGAATAAGCTAAGAAGTGATATGATGGTTTGCAACGACTCGCGTCAACGGCACTGTTTGTTCTTACAAATATCTCTTTTTATTTCACGAACTATATTATAGAAAAATTCTGAAAAAAAGAAATTGTACTACTACTAGAAATGATCATCATTCCACACAAGACTAAATTCTAATAAAGTTTAATTTTTTTCTGTATTGTTATAATGTTTGGGAATGAAATTCATACTCTTACAGCGATATCTAATTCAATCAGTGGACGTTGTAAGTTTTCTTGTTTACTGTGTTTACTTTTAAAATTTTATATTTAGCTTTTATGTGACTTGAAAAAGATCAAGAAATCATTTTTTCTGTTTCAAAAGAGGGTGGTTCGGCCGATAACAATAAATATGACGGTTATAGGATTCCAAAATTTTTTTTGTTCTCAGGCTTTGAATTTCATAAAATTTTATTTCTATTCATAATATATACCGATTTATTTCATTATGTCTCAGTGCCATTTCATTATTAGCATCTCTGATAAATTCTCCACTGCCGGAAGATTCAGCATACATTCCGAATGAACTGAAATCAATTGATGTTAACTCGATCGAATTAGCTGTATCGTTATCAACTATTCCCGATGGTTGTCTTCTTGGTTTATTTGATCCCGATATTAACTTAAATTTTGGGGATGATAAGTGGGTTCATTTTAAAAATTATTTGCACATTTTAGTAGCAAGCTACTAAATAGCTCAAATGAAACTTCAGCAGTCACGAGGGTAAAGGGTAGTTTATTGTAAACAGCAAATAGTTTATTGTAAACAGCAAATTCCTGTGAATTTCACTTACTGTAGATTGGCATGCTGAGGTACTTTAAGATTGGTAGCAATTGGTTTAGAATTTGTGATTCTAACATGACATATTGATTGCAGTTTACTAGAAAACGTAAAATATGTTATTAAACCATAATGTTTTCATAATTTCCAATAATCTTTCTTTAATTCAGCTGTTCCAGAAAGACGGTTCTTCCACAAGAAGTTGCCCTTATAGAACCAGTATTGCGTTTTCTACAACTTTTATGTGAAAACCATAATTTAGTGTTGCAAGTTAGTGATCATTAATTTATTTTATAAAAGTTCGGTATCTCTTATTTGCAGCGGTTGGAATTCATAGAATAGATAAGACCACTGTAGGTTACCATTAGGTTTTGTGTTGCAATTTTTAAGCAATTGCAAGTAGTCACACCGCTTTAATGGGTCATGTTCAATTATCTTTTTCCCGGACTTTTGCGATTTGTCAAACATTTTAAAAACATAATTTTAACGGGATATTTATCCAGTTTTTTTAATAGACAGTTTGTTCTAGAATTTTCTGCGATATCAAGGCAGTCGTCAGAATTATAATTTGGTTGACGAAACACTTATGTTTCTTGATGTTATTTGCGGTAGCACCAAAGGTTTTTTTCCTGTCTTGTTTATTTTTTTACATATTTTTTTCTTTATCTACAACAGCGTCTACAACAATTTTAAAATTCTTCATGAGTTTACGTGGAAATTCACAGGTTGTTTGGGCGTATTTGGTGAAATAGACGAACACAATTTCTCACTTATTACTCAAACTTTGGTGACACTGACAGAATTTTGTCAAGGTCCTTGTTATGAAAATCAGGTAACGAATTGCTCATTCTATATTCCTTATTCTGAAAAAAATTTTGAAATATCAAATAGAGATTGGGATTATCACTGTCATATTAGGATTCTGTTTTTGGTTTCCTTAAATTTCTTTTTTTTTGTAAACACCTATATTCAGCAAGGAAAGCATCTGAAGTGAAGGGTATCGTATTTTCCAGAATACAGTCGGCAATCATGAGTCTGGACTTAATATGATAATATCGTTGGTGCTGAATGAAATAAAACCGCTTTGTTTAACGCACATGGATTTGGCATTGGAAATAAAGGTCAAATCAAAGCAAAAGAGACCAACAAAAGAAAATGTCAAAGAAAAAACTGGCAGTTGAATTAAATAAAATTTAGCAACTCTTTGCATTTTTATAATGATTTTGAAAATTTGGTTAGTTTTAGAGCGCTGCATCAAAACTATTATTGGCTGTCATGGAATCACGATGTGATGCTGATAATGCAGAACGCGTACTCATAAACATGGATCACATGGCTAGCGGAGCGAAACAATTGGTAAGATGGTGTTAATCTTTCATTGCTGATGAAATAAATATAATTATTTTATCCAAAACTTTTTCTACTGATATTTGAACTTATTAGAGTAAATGAACTGAAGTTGTATTTTGATACTGTGACGGAAGGGTTGAAGGAAAAAGTATTGACATAATTTGTAGAATATATTTTTGACTGAAGCTCGAAATTTGTGACAGAAAGCACTGCTTGTATGAACTCTTCTATATTCCTTGTTTTTACTTGTCACTATTTCAGATTTCATCAATTTTTAGCCTTACTGCTTAAGCTTTTTTTATTTCGGCATATTACTTAAAAATCTTACTTTAAGGTTCAAGCAATCAAAATGGCATATGAGATGTCGGAAATGAAGGAGTTTGCAGTGCCAAAAATAAGAAAGAATTTTGAAGTTCGCTGAATTTTATTTCTTTTATAAGCTAGGGAATCCTTAAATTCTTTTCATATTTGAGTTTAATGCTTTTCTGAAAATTTACATGCAGGATTCATATTAAAAATACTAATTTGTTAGATTTCTTCTATGTCAATCACCTCTTTCGTACGTGAACATCGGGAGGAAGGAAAGCAATGTATATCAAGACCGTATGAAATAATTAGCCATCCGAATTGATATTTCGAAAAATAAAGCTGATATTTCGTCTGTATTTAACGACACTAATCGTAAGATCATTAAGGAATGGCTTACTAATGAATAAAACAAATAATAAATATAGTAAGTGATTTAAAAATTTTTTCAGACAAATTATTCATCAAAAAAATCGAAGTCTAGAATAGGTAGGCCAGATATTGCTATTCAAGATAATATCGTTACTTCATATCCATCTACTCATTTAACTCTTGTCGATCCACAAGAGGTATTTATTTTCCTTAACTTTTTCTTACTTCGTAAAGATTTCACTTTTCCTTTCTATTTGATACTTGTTTTCGTAATTCATTACTGACTCATTGGTTTTATTAGGTAGGACACAATATCTTCATTCTTGCCACACAACTTGCGCGATACAATGGAACACTTCGAGAAGCTTTAGATCCAGAAAATAATAAGGATTCGATGACTTCAAAAGCTTTGCGTTACTACAAGCAGTATACTGCACAGATTGAGGTTTGAAATTGAGAATTGATTTGATGACGAAGTTGACAAATGATAACTAGGCCATATATTGTTATTCAAGATCATATCATTACTTACACATCTACTCACGTATTCTAGTCGATGCACAAAGTGTTTTTTTATTTCCTTTATTTTTTTTTCTTGTTTCTTGCTAATCTTTACAATTTCAAATTTATTGGAATGTTTTAGCGGTATCCGGAGTAATACCTTCTCGAAACGTTAAATGTTTTATTCAGCGATGTTAGAACGCATAATCAATGAGGAATAAATCAAATGCCATATAAATGAGTGTTAGATGGACAGTGAAAAACCTTCCTAAAATCATAATTTATTTATATAGTAATAATAGTGTAGCTGTAGATAACATTTCGAAATTACATTTCATCATCGTAGGGAAAAAAAGTTTTGATGACTCCTAATTTCGTGATTGAATGAAATGAAATGTGAAAATAATTATCTCATTGTTTGTGACAATAAAGATTTAATATGATTGAATTATTGGCATCAAAATTATAGTTTTACTTCTATATTCGAAAGCTTAAAAATAAAAAATATTTTAGATAGTTCGTAGCGATCGTAAAATGGAACGAGTAATATTTCCAATTCATGCTATTTGTGAATATCTTACACCAGAATCGAAGTTAAATATTTTGCTAGAAACCGAGCAGGATGCTCAAGGATCCAAGGCTATTTATGAATTATTTGTTTTTCATGTTATCTTAGTATTTCTTATTGGAATTGTAATTGTAAATAAATACCGTAAAGTAAATGCCAAAATAAGCTGCATTAAGTAACTTTATTCCAGAATGATAATGTATTTTTTAGGTAACAGAATTTTTCAGTCAATGGCCGGAACTTTTCGAAGAGATGAAGTGGCAAAAAAAACTTCAAGGTAGTGTGATAAAGTTCCCGATACATATTTGAACAGACGCATGTCTATTATTGGATCTGGCTAGTAATTTCAGATCGGAAGTACTTCAGTAATTGCACAAAACGACTGATACTGTGGACTCGGATATCATTCTTTTTTGCTATTCTTATCAATATAATTATTGCAATATTTTATCCTTTTTCAGGAAATAATAGACAAGGTATAATTTATTACATTCATGTAATCTTTTCAATCGTCTTTTTTTTTAATTTTTTTGTAAAGATTTTGATTGTTTTAAAATTGATGATCAAATTTTTGAAGGCATTAAAGTTTGCATATTCATTCATTCATTAGTTCATTCCCTTGATGACTCGGTTGAAATTAAATTAGTGTTAAGAAATGATTTAATCTTAACCAAACTTCAGTATTATTTCTAGAATTTCATAAGAAATGAAAGGTATTCCGTAAATTCACTTTCTAAATTTTGCTTAAAATTTTGTCGTTTTTGTTTAAAATTTTTTTTAAATTTATTGAGATTGCCACATTCTATGGCCTTGCCACTTTAGAGAAATGAACGAAACACTTCGTTTGTTGCTTTTTTTTTTTTTTACATAAACAATTTTTTGTTTTCAGAATTAATATCTCCAAGTAATCCATTCCTGTACATATTCCCTACGGTATCATTATTATTTTTGCGAATGCAATGGAGTGAAAAGTAAGCATTAAATATTTGAACATGTTCAGGAAAGTATTTATTGTAATGTAAACCTTAAGTTTTATTGTGCAAATTTGCGGAATTAAAAAATATTGGTAAAAACAAAATTTTTCATAAAAACAATTTGATTTTATTTTAGCTATAAAAATGATAAACATTTATAGAGCTTTGCTTGGAAGAAACAATGAGATTTATTGGGCGTTTGCTGCCATTATGACAAGTTTTACAATTTTATTTATTACGGTAATTGGAGTAGTGTTGACGTTGCGTGTTGTTGGTTTACTTCAGGTTGGTTAATACTGGATTTGTCTTGAAGTTTTGAAGACTTTAAGATTATTTTCTAAAATCGATATAGCGCACTTAGTAAGATTATGAAATTGTGCTTAGAATTTTTGCATAATTTCCTGAAACAGGGCAAAGATTTCCCTATTCGTTCAACTAGATTTCATAGTGCTTGTTTCTAATTAATTGGGTAGAAATTCCTGCAATTTAATTGAGAATTGATTAAAGTATTCAATTTTTCCAATTACATATTTTCTATATTGAAAATGGATTAATTTTATAATCTTGTATCATTTTTCATAATTTCCATTTAAAGTGTATTTATCGTTTTCAAATTGAAGAAAAATAAGAAAAGTGAAGTGAAGAAAAAAAATTATCAGAATAAAATGAAAAGCAAATTTCAGTTGATTAATAAAGGAGTCCATATAGTGAGCTATATAGGAAATCGTGGTTTAATTGATAAAACATGGCCTGAGCGACTTCAAGATAATGGTATTTGGTACCACCTGGCATATTTGCTGATATGTATTCAAGGCCTCATTGTGCATCCGCTTTTTTATGCTTTACTTGTAAGTGCTTTTTAATTTCTTATATTTTCAGTGCTCAGTCATTCCAGTTTTTTCTATAAATCTACACAAATTCATCTCTTTTTTTGTGTTTTGAAATAATGACTTAATTTCAGTTTTGAAAAACAAAAGCTATCTCACTTTCTTACTCATTTTTAATTTAAGTTAAACTACTTTCCAAATTGTTGGAAACATCCTTTCGAAAGTTACAAACCTAACTTTTTCAGCTGTTTGATATTGTGGCAAGTGAAGAGACTTTGCGAAATGTAATTCGATCTGTAACACGAAACTGGCGATCAGTTATAATGACTGGTTTACTAGCCGTCATACTTGTTTATCTATTTTCAATCATTGGATATTTGTATTTTCAGAAAGGTACCATTTTACTGATCACAGGTAACAATAATTTCGACGAAACAATAATAAGAGAATGAATAAACCTTTGTATTTTTTACATTTATCTTTTTCAGATTTTCAATTGGAAGTTGATAGATTGGATGATAATGAAAACGATAATATTGCCTATGAAAATTTTCCTTCCATGCAGTGTATTCGTCCGTCGTCCTTCATTTTCAGGCACTATATCAATGAAAACAAGTGCTTAGCGGAAAACTTAGCGACTAATCAGCCTATTGACGATAGTGAGTCCATACCTTTTGATATTATCATTTAATTTACAGTTACTTTACCCATGGAAAAATGCTTTCAAGACTTCCTTTCTATCGAAATTTTATATTCACTATAATTCCTATTTTAAATATATAGCTTTTGCCAATATATTTCAAATTATAAAGTTTAATAAGACTGAAAATAAACAGACTAATTACTGAATTGAGTTTTACTGACTTTTTCAGAAGAGGAATTAAAAGTTTGGTCATGTCAAACCTTGCGTATGTGTATCCTAACAACATTAAATTGGGGTCTTCGGAACGGAGGCGGTATTGGCGACGTACTTCGGAATGTAGCACCAAATGTATGTTTGATACATACTCTAAACACTGAAGTACTTTTAAATGAAACGAATCGCATTATGCAAGTTTTAAGGTATAAAAGTCGTCATCATATTTATAACGCGAATAGTATTAACTAGATAATGCAACTAGTTATTGGATGTAGTGACCACATATTTTCATTGTCATACCTAGGCTCAAGGCTAGAACCTAAACGACAAAATACACGATGCAATAATGAGACATGTAATAGATCCTTCAAATGGCTTATTTTAACCATTTCCAAATTTCTAAAAATTTAGGTTTGGTTTATATTGCAAGTAGCACTGCTTATAGGAACCATTTCAGTTTATATTTTTGTTGTTTTGATATTAAGTTATGCGAGTTGTTAGTAGAGAGAGTAGTAGAAGAAACAATTGAAATTTTCTACATTAAAAAAAGCAAGAGATAAAAGGAATTAAAAATTACCTATCAAGGAAGAATCATTTTTATCTCGGATCGTTTATGATTTGACATTCTTTATCGTAATTATTATTATCGTGCTCAATTTGGTATTTGGTGTTATCATCGATACATTTGGTGATTTGAGAGCCGAAAGAAATGAAAAAGTTAACCAATTAAGAAATAATTGTTTCATTTGTGGTCTTGGAAGAGAAAGGTTTATTTTCATCATTCCATGAGATTTAAACATCTTTTCTTGTTTCCCATAATAATTTAAAATTTGTGGCTAGAAAATAAACGGAAAGTTGAAAGAAAGGAACAAATAAAAGGAAAATAGGTTCATCATAAGTTCAAATAACGGGATCATTTCTTTATACTTCTAGTGTCATTCAAATTAATCCAGGTTTGACAATAAAATTATGACTTTCGAGGAGCACCGAAAAAACGAGCACAATCTTTATCATTATCTATATTTTATTGTATGGTTACAAATAAAAGATGAGACAGAATTCACCGGTCCCGAAAGCTATGTTGCAAATTGTATTAAGGTAAATTTTTGAACGGTAATATTTAAATCCTTAATTGTTCCGAGATCTTTCTACCTTGATTTTCTCTTAGTAATCAAGACACTTTTTTTTTCATTTATGTTTATGTAATGTATTCCAATTCGAAGATATCATATTATTTAGGATCATAGAAGTGATTGGTTTCCTCGAATGCAAGCAATGTCATTAGCTGAGGATAATCAAGAAGCGGAGCAGAAGGATGACATTAATGAGATTTGTGATTCACTGAATAGATTGTTGAACACTGTAGAAGAACAAGGACGACAACTTGAAGAATTGAAACAGGTGATGAATGTTTCACGAAAGATCGCGGAACGTTAAAAATTATAACAGAAATACTGTTATGAATATGATACTTTAAAATGTTTTGAATGCATGTTACGATTTCATGTGGGAATCGTTTTATAAAGTTTCCTTTCGTTGCTTCGTTGATAAAAGTACGACGATATTGCATTATGACAAGTGTATTTATTTTTTAATCTCAATAGCAACGACATTTTTTACTGCAAAAATTATCAACCAGAAAAAAAAAATGAAATGCTAAGAGTTAAAGTTTTCGGAATAAAAACTTGAAACTTACATTTGAAAGGAACTATCTCAAAATCTCAAAAACTTGAGACTTGATATTTGTCTTATATGACTGATGTTGTCTTAATTTTATTTTTCAATACAAAAGTAAAGTTCTACCTCATCTAAACCCTCTTCGAGATTATCTTTTTCATGGTGATAAACTCATTAATGTTTATTTATTAAAAAGAAAAAAATTTCACCTTAACATGCTTAAAATTGCAGCTGCTGTACAAGCAAAATGCTTTACAATTGGTAACGCCACTATTACTCAATAAATGAACAAGTATTTATGAGATTAAAAATTTTCGAGTATATACAGGTGATTATGTTTTCCGAAACATTCATTTGCCAGCTGTGATATTTTCTTGTTCATCTGCCTTTTTTTTTTCTTTGCAACATCATTGTTTGAATCTCTTTCATTGCTTAAATTATTCATAGTTCAGTACATCTTCATTATATTACGATAAATAAACTTCACGTTGCTTACCAAGTACTTATTAATTGACGGATGATTTATGGCACGGTATCCGTATAAGCAATTAATGGCTATACAATCAATTGATTCAGGGGAATTAGTTTCATCGAGAATTATGAGAAATTATTAGCCGTAGCAAAAATTTACGATTTGTTTACGATTTACGTCTCCTCCATATATAATTCTTTGTGCCATCTCAGTAATGCTAAGTAATGAGGATTGCATATGGGATATATTCGTTTGTTCTATTCTCTTCCTTTCGTCTACAAACTATTTCCCGTTTTAATATATGCATTTCCAAGATTCTTTTCCTTTTAGGATTACATATAAAATAAACACAGAAATGTCATATACTGCTTAGATAATTCAGATAGTAAGTGGTCGGATACTGTTACGAATACTGCACAGTCGAAGTTGAAATAATTGAATTCTAACTAAACGTGTCCATCAGTAACAAATATATAAATATGTGGAGGATTTCCTCCATGAAACGATTCAGTTTACAGCAAGAAATCCGAGTTATTTTGAATTCATAAAAATGTTACTTTTGGGACTGCTATAAAAACAAAGCATAACGGTGTTGTTCGTCACAAATGTTAGCGAAATTCCTTTTCTTGTTATTTACCAGATACTATTACGAATGAATTTTGCATAACTAAAGTGATTGGATTTTATGTATTTGTCATGTGTGGCATGACTTTTCTTTTTTGCTAAATTGGAATCGCAAATTAAGTCATCAGCCTTGGCATTGTGTACTCTGACTTTTGTTGCAGCTATGTTCCTTATAGTCTCTGTTGCTCTCTCAGATTTAGTTCAACATGAGAGGCAAGCAGTGATGACGTTTGATATATTTTGTTGATAACAAGGTGTTGTGATTACACATATAATATGAATGAAATAAAGTAGCAAGTTTGACACTTTAACTTTCAACCGATTCTGCTATGGTTGAAGTGGTTAGGAATTCCAGGATTGTCTTTTGATCGTGAAGTAAATTGGAGCCTATTTGTAGTTCTTCTTGGTTTAAAGCATAATAGTTTTTGTGTTGAATAACGATGTCACTGCCTGGGACATTCAAGAAACTTTTCGCTGTAGCTGGCGGAGCAACAGCAGCTTTTTTAGCTGTGACATATGTAAGTAATTATTGCACTTTAATTGAAAAGAAGTGTTGAGCGTTATGAAGACTTTTCACAAAAACTTTCTCTTTACAGGTACAGCCACCAGTGAATTGCTTAAGTGTGTATTTTACTCATATGAAATATTCGTTACTGTTTTTCTGAGCATAGAATAACTCTCCTCTACACATTCATTTATGTTCATTTTCAGTATACTACACATTGCTAATCTATATCAGGTTTATACTTTTTTTTTTAGACTGGGGAGCTTTACAAAATGAATTACCAGATTGATGAGACAGATGTCTTTGCTATTCAGAGGGTCAATGCAGCTTATGCAGAACTTCAAAAGGTATTTATAATGTTTGTTTTTTACACATTCTGGAACGATGATCATTTTACAAGAAAAAAAAAATTTATTGACTTAATATGGACTATCAAATGCAGTTTGATGAAAAATGCTATTGTCTTAATATTCATACAGGTAATTGTAATCTTTAGGATCCGAGGATCGTTTTTCATTAATTTTTAAAGTTTCTAACACTGCTTAAAGTGGACTTTTAGGATAAGAATTGTAATTCGCTGCTAAAGAAATACCTGACACCTACAATTCTAAAAAAATTGGAAAATAAAAAGACGAAACTGGGTGTTTCGCTTTACGACATAATTCGTTCTGGTATGTTTCCTTATATTTTTTTAACTGCGAACAAACCATCTATTTTCCTTTTCGATAAGACATAATAGCAGCTCTTTGTATTTACACTTCAAACTGTGAAGTGGTGCATGTCTCATCGTTCTTTAGGTTTGCACAACCATGACTTGGCGATTGGTGTTTATGCAGCGGATCCTGAATCTTACCAGAAATTCGCTGTTCTCTTCGATAAAATTCTAGAAGATTACCATGCATTCAAACCAGGAGATAAACAACCGGCAGTTGATTTTGGCGAAGAAAGATTGGGCGAACTCTCACTTCTTGATCCTGCTGGGAAATATGTTAAGTCAGTAAGGTTAGTTTTCTTTTCCGATTTCGTAACTGAGAAATGATTTCAAAAACTAATCGAACTCTTTTTTGTGCTTTTGTCTCTCAAGGTTTCACACAAATCTGAAATATTTCTAGTTAAACATTCTGTAATTTTTGAAATTTGGTTTTAATCGGAAGTGTAGCATGTTTAAAGCAAGGGATGAAAAATTTTTTTAAAGGATTCGTTGTGCTCGTTCCATTGCTGGTTATCCGTTCAACCCACTTTTGAGTGCAGATGATTATATAATTTTGGAACAGAAGGTTGGTTCCACTTCTGGATTTTTATTTCTGGCCCTAACCCAGAAGTATGTGATCGACTGTCTTGTTCATGAAGTTTTTGGTTGCTTCATTGTTCATAGGTTTAAGGTGAAAAATGCATTGCTGCAAATCGAAGAACCTGAACTACGTGGAATCTATTATTCACTGGATGGAATACCGAAAAAAACGAAGGATCATCTTTACAGTAAACAGCTCCTATTCAACAACAATAATTCTTTATTGAAACATGCCAATGCCTACAATGCTTGGCCAGAGGTACTGATTTCACTTTTTATTGTTGTCTAAGGCACTGTTTACTTTTTGAAATGTCTTATATGAAATGGTGTCTTGTCTTTTTTGTCATTAGTGCAGTGAAATCATTTAGTGTGGGGCGTATGTCGTAATAACACAACTCAGGTCGAATTCAATTCTGTTGAAATACTTTAACGGTATCACCATTTGTTTTAATTAATCAATAGTTAGGTTTCTACTAAATTCTGAAATGGAATATATGTGTTTTATTTCTTTCTTATTTGTTTTAGGGACGTGGAATCTTCTACAACAGCGACAAATCTTTTTTGGTTTGGGTTAACGAAGAAGACCATGTTAGTATGATTTCTGTTGAAGAAGGAAGTGATATTGGCAAGGCTCTTGCTCGTTTAATACGAGGTTTGAAGGTGATTTTGATTTTCTAGAAAGGAAAAGGAAAGTGGAGAAGTTCAAGATAAAGTAGTATAATTCACGTTGCCAATATTTTTTTAATAAAATTCTAGAAGTTGGTTTGAGTGGAATATTGCATTCAACTGAGAGTAATTATAAGTGCATGGTGACTAGGAGAGTATAGTCTTTAATATCTGTTGATATTTACTAATTGCTGAAAGAACCTGTCATTGGAAAAATTAAAGAGAGATTAATCGTTTACCGTCTTCTCGAAAATTTGGAGCATTTGCAAATGTTCATATGAGTGTAAATAATTTCAAGGCATTGGAACGAAAGCTAACATTCGCTGAAGATAATCGACTTGGCTGGTTAACATCAAATCCTAGCAATCTTGGTTCTGCAGTTAGTGCTTCAGTACAAATATGTTTGCCGAAATTGAGCAAAAAATCCGACTTAATGGTAAATTTCTACTTTTCTTGTATACGAGGCAATTCGCTTTTTCCTGCGATTTTGCGCTGGAAATTTTGCAGTTGCAAACCAAATGCTTTCTTCCAGTTTGCCGGATTTCTTAATAACCACTTTTAAGTCTTGAATGAGGATAAAATTAAAGTGGTTTCACAATCTTAATTCTCAACTACGTTGTTATTGTTTGAGGCTCTTGGAGTTTTTATTTCATGTATAAAGTAAAAATATGGAATCCATTTTCAATTCTTCTGTTGTAGGAAATATGTGAAAAGCTGAATTTGCGCGTTGTTTCAGTGGACATTACTTCGTCTGAAGTGCCGAATAAATACTATCTCATATCAAACAAGGTTTTTTTTCACTTTACTATCTTTGTGAAGTACACATTCTTTATTCTCTTTATTTCTTAATGCCGGAAGTTGTTCGTTTTACTACTGAAGTAGCTTTAAACGACCGGTAGTGCCGTTGGACATTCATTTCAGGACCAGCTATGTAATAGATAAACATAGTATGTCGAAACATTTAATGAGCTAGGCAGAATGTTTTGTTTTCTTAAATGTTTTTTATTGCAGTAAAAATTTTAGAAAACCCTTGGAGTAACGCAGTATGAAGCAGTTAAACAAATGTACGATGGTATAAAAGAATTGATTCGAATGGAGGAGCATTCATAAAAGCTATTTAATTATTCCACCATTTTGACTTCTGCAAATATAATTTAGATTTTCTTTTGTAAATATTCAAATTAATGTATTATCATCGTGTTTTAAGTTGATTATATTAAAATCGTTTTAAGCGAGACTGAATTGGAGTGGCACAATCTTGAGAATCTGAAAGTTATGACTTCAAAATGAGATTTTCTCGTCTTGTTAGTGATGGATGAAATTGTCTACTTACAAGTAATGGTACCGACTTTCTCTGTAGTAGATCCGTTATAATATTTGTGACATTTGTAGTAATGATTTTTATTTGGAGTAAATAGTTATAACAGCATTTCTCACGATGCTAAACAGAGATGAATTTATGTGGACCTTCGAAATCACTGCCAGTGTTTTTCGAATATTCTGACTATTGTCGAGGTTTTGGAGTAGAGAAATTCAAATAGGGACCAAAATAGAACGGTTATGATGAACATTTCTTTTCAACCAAGAACTGTGCAACAGTTTCTTGAGGTCCCACTCATGTGGTTCAAAAATTTGCAGAGAGAGTCATAATTATGACTAAATCGTCTTTGTTTTTAATACTACAAAGTATTGGTATTTCAGGTTTTAATAAAATTTTATATGATGGAATT